GCTGTCATAGAAAATTGTAAATATGTTGAGAGCATTCATCACAGAGCTCTCTCTATGTATAAAAAACCACTTAGGAACACTAGCTTGCTTGTAGGTTCCACCTGTAAAAAAGCTAACTAGAATGGGAATATCTCATATCTACTCTAGTTTCTTGAAATTGTGACCACTCCATCTCCATGTCCAGCTATTCGGTTTCCACATTTTGCTTTCCCTCAAATGTCAGGTTATAGTGTACTTCTAAGAGCCTTCCCTGGCACAGGCTACAATCCCAATGAAGGCTAGGTTTGGTACAAGAAAAAAAAAGCTTTCTGACAAATCAGATCTCTCCCAAAGTAGAATGGTATTTCTCAGAAGGAAGTGTTTAAGCCTTGTTAAGGATGTTGTAGTGCTACTCAGGCAGGAGTTACATTAAACGTCTTTCGGTGTATACTCCAATTCTGAGATCTTTGATTCTACAAATTGGTCAATGCTCTTTTTAGCTCAATTGTTGAGGGCTAAATCTGCTACTGACTACAAGTTCTTTTGCTGAGTTTTAACTGCAGACAGCTCCTTGTTGCTTGTTGCCAACAATGGAAACAGCTGGATTCATGAAGCAGCTGAATTCCATTACTGTACTTTGGTGTTCCTTTACTTTCTGATTTCTTACAGTAAAGGTAAGACAGGATTGGTAAAGACAAGAACTTTTTTAGTGTAGGGATTATGGGAGGTTTATATATGAATTGTTGGGTTCATACTTGACAAGAAGGCAAATTTCTTGAGTTTTATACCTCATGAGACACTGACTACCAGGAGGCTCTGACTTAAGGCATTAAAAACTGTTAAAAGCCAGAAAAGATAAATTACAGGAAGAAATTGACAAAAGGGTAGTAGTTAGCACAGAAGCAGCTTTGTAGGGTACAAATTATTCCTGAAGGGACTAAGGATGTCAAGACTTGCAGTCCAGAATTGTAAGTTGCCTTGAATTCATGGGTTTCTCTACTCATCTCCTTCCCTCCTGCAATGTGTTCTTACTAGCCCTCACAGACATTGTATGAAAGCTTATAGGAAGACTGATGCTTTGATTATTCCTATCTTTGCTTTCTAATGAGTAATTGTTATGTTTTAATATTCCTGATTTTGCCTTCTACTGAGTGAAAATTATGGTTATTTCTACTTTTGCCTTATGAGCAAATACTGCTGTGATCATTCTTGCTTTCACCTTATCTTTAAGGAAATGTTTTATGTTTAAGAATTAATAGTGTCATGATGACTGATTTCAAATAAATAGGAAATACACCAGTAGGAGCTTAGAAGTTATAATGATAAGTAATATGAGTGTATCTCCCCCACAGCAGTTACCTGTAGGGCCCTGATAAACAGAAGCTGAGTTGAACCATGTGGTTTAAGTCTCCCCTCCCTGTGGGTAGGAAAAAATAAACGAACCTGACCTACCCATGTGAGGGCAGGTTGGGGTGAAAGAAAGGGAGTGCAATGCCACTTCAGACACCACACCCATAGGTAACATTGCTTTTGTGAGTAGGTTTGGGGCAATAAGATATTGACAAAAGGGTCATAGCAGACAAGGTTAATCAGGGACAGCAGAGATCCCTTCCAATAAGGTAAATCCTTTCCTTTGGTGGGAATTCTATGGTGAGAGCATGGAACTGATTACTAGACAGTGAAATGGAGGACTGAACCAGGAGTTAATGAATTGAGCTGTTCCTGGGAACTGGGGGGTAGGGGAGAATCTACCTATAAGTACAGAGAAGGACTCAAATTCCATAAAGTTGATAGAAAAATCCAAGAAATGAAGTCCAGGTTAGCTGATCAAGATTGAGCAAATAGCCATCTAGTTTGCCCAGGGTAATTGAGACTTAACAGTGGAGCTAAGACTACTTTGTTTATACTAGGAAGGCCTTGGTGTATCTTAAGGCTCTACGTCTCTTGATGCCTAAATGGACTCAACCCTCAGACCTGAGTAGCTTCTTTGATCAAGGCATCTCCCATGAAAAAGTTGCCCTATATGATCACTCAGGCTTATTATAAAAAAAATTTTCAAGTATGTAGATTGTAAATGTACATAAAAGTGAATTACGATATCACAACCGGATTTTTCACCATGTCACAAAGTGGTTTCTATTGGAGTTTTTTTGACAAAAAATTGTATTTGCAGTTTGATCAACTTACTCCCCAGACTTGGTTCCAAATTCATCCCAAAAGGACAAATACCTCAGAAACAGAAAGTGTCACAGGCTCTGAAAGTAGTTCCAAAAATAGTTTGAGCAATGACATCATTAGAATGAGTGGTAGCCTCCCAAACAAATTACTTTTAAGGACTCAGCATTCATTTGTATGTATACATTTTAGTTTTTTGTTTGTTGGTTGTTGGTTTGGGGTTTGTCTTTTCTGTTTTTAAAATCTGAACCTGTGACATCATCAGGGAAGGAGCTTCCAGTATGTAAACTCTCCCTACCAGTGCTGATAGCCAACAGACTTAGAGTTCTTTGAAAGTATTGAATGACTTGCCCACATTCAAACAGTCAGTATATCTCAGAGGGAGGAGTTGAACTGTGGTCTTCCTAAGTCCAAGCACAGCCCTCTGTCCATCACAGATTGTTTTTCTTGTTTAGCTGTCTCCAATTTTTCATGACTCTATTTGGGGTTCCCTTGGCAAAGATACTGGAGTGATTTGCCATTTCCTTCTTCAGTTCATTTTACAGATGAGGAAACTGAGGGGAACAGAGTTAAGTGACCTCCTAGGGTCACACAGCTAGTAAATGTCTGAGGTCACATTTGAACTCAGGAAGATGAGTCTTCCTGACTCCAGACCCCACACTATCTACTATGCCACCTAGCTGCCCCAGTTGTTTTTCTACTGATAACTTTACTTGCTAAATTTAGCTGAAATGTAACTAGTCAGCGGGCAGCTAGGTGGTGCAGTGGATAGAGTTCTGGCCTTGGAGTCAGGAGGGCACGAGTTCAAATCCAGTCTCAGACACAAGACACTTACCAGCTGTGTGACCCTGGGCAAGTCACTTAACCCCAATTGCCTAAACCAAAAAAAACCCAAAACATAACTAGTCATTAATAAAGTTTATTTTTACTTCCTATCTTGTTTTTAATAAATTTTTAAAGAAAAAACTAAATTCAACTTCAGAAGTGCAAGATGGGGATGGTATGGATAAAAATGTAACATGAAAAAGACCTAGAGGTTTCAGTGGGCTGCAAGTTCAATATGTCAGGTGTGAGTAGCCAAGGAAGCTAGAATGAGAGGCATAGTGTTTAGAACTAAGGAGGTGATTGTCTCACTGTACTTCACCCTTGTGAAACTATAACTAGGCTATTGTGTTCCATTCTGTGAATATTTTTAAGAAGAAGACTGGAATGGGCTTTGAGATCACCTCAGGTGAGGATCAATGAAAGAACTAGTTTGTATAGCCTCAGAAAAGACTTAGAGACATTGTGTGAAGGCTATCTTAAAGTATTTTTAGGACTAAGCAAGTGGAAAAGATTAAACTTGTTCTGCTTGGCTCCAGGGGGTAATATTAGGAGCAATGAATGGAAGTTGCAAAGAAGCAGATTTTGGTTTGATTAGGCAAAACTTGACATGCTGGAGATGTTAACAGAGAATTTTGGGGGCTCTGAAGTCCTTTCCAAATATGAAATTCTGAGAAATTATTATGGCATTGAAGGGAAAAGAAATGTACCATCTCCATGCATACATATTCAAAGGCACCGTAGGAAAAACTCTGATAAATGGAGATTGCTTTGTTTCTCCTATGATGTATTATTTTATAAATGGTTCATAGGCCTTATATAGGCCCTATCAGTGCTCCTCAAACAAAAGTGGCTGAAATAAGAAGTTTGAGAAATCGGTGAAAGATTATTATGGTATTAATAACAATGTCATTAAATAGCTGTGTGATCTGGAGCAATTTACTTAATCTCTTCTGACTTCAGTTTCTTCAATTGTTAGGAAGGGCATTTGGCCTAGATTACAAATTCAGATTGTTAATTAAGTTAAATCCTTAAAAGTCATGGCCTAACACCTCATTTTATAAATAAGAAAAGTGAGGTCCAGCTTCACCAACTAGCCTAAGGACATGCAGGGGTTTTGTCTTCCCAGTTCAGAACTCCCAAGTCAGAGCTTTTTCCATCTAAGGGCCTTTCCAGCCAGGGATGTGCTGGAGCCGGCTCCTACCAGGAAGCTGATTGTGAAATGCTCAGTGTGAGCTCCGAAATGGGCAAATGCTACAAATCGAGTGCCTGCTTTTTTGTTTTGTTTATTGTCTGACTCTAAGAAATCAATAAAGAAGATGTTAATAATACTTAACGTTAATAATAATAATGGTTAATAATAAACTTAAAGCTGTCAAGGGAACACTTTTCTCCCAAAGAGGGTTGGTTTTTAAACATTTACCAGCGCAGGCCTGCTCCCAACTCAAAAATATAAGCTCCTAGGACGTAAGCTTGGGTCCTGCTCCTAACGGCCTGGTGGTGGATGAAACCTCACCCACACTGGAGACCCCTTCCCTGCTTCTAGAGCCGCTTGGGACAGCGACACGGAATTCGAACTCAGGGCCCAAGACTCCAAGTTTCGCTGCGCCCGGACGCCTCCCAATGTACTTTAACTGCACTCGCCTGGGACTGGGTTGCTTCCCCTTCTCCTCACCCCTCCTAACCCGCTGACATTTGGAGGCCTGGACAGGAGGGTTTGAAGGACCCTTACTGATGCGCCAAAGCTCCGCCCGGAGCCTTCCTTCAACTCAAAGACACACCCCCCGAGGGGGCGTCTCTCAGGGCGCCATACGTCATTACGCTTTCCGTAGCGTGGGGTCGTCGGCGAGGGGCGGGACTTCCTCTCCGGGACTAGAGCCGCTTCCGCCGGAAATGCCGTCCTCGTAGCCTGGTGTTCGAAACCGTTGGCGGCTGCGCGGGATGGCCTGTGGAGTCGTCTGTGTCTCGGGGCGCCTTCCGTTTGTTTTTTTTTGGGCCTTTGTGGGGAGGGCCAGGCTGGCTGGGACCAGGAGCGGGGGTGGAGGGAGAGGGGGGATGTCAGGAGTGAGGAGCCGGGGTCGAGCGGGGGTGGCCTTGACTACGTGGGAGGAGGGGCGGAAGGCGGGCGCCCTCCAGGGGACACTGCGCCCTTCCCTCGGGGCTCCAGGCAGCCGTGTACCCCGCACCTGTGCTTTTCTAGAAGCAGAGCTGGAAGGGACCTTAATCTCTTACCCAGCCTTATACCATGGATGGAGGAACTGAGGCCAAGCATGGATTTTGACTTGACTAAGGTACACAGGGAGTGAATAGCAAAACAGATTTGAACCCATGCCCTCCGACTCAAAATCCAGTGCTCTTAACTACTGTACGACCTAGAAGGAAATCTGGAATTCAGTCATTAATCATATTTACTATGGGCCACGCACCGTGCTAAGTGCTGGGGATACAAAGGCCAAAACTCCCTGCCCTCGAAGAGCTCACATTTTAATAACATGTGAAGAACTGTGTACAAAAAATATAGAGAGCTAGTGGATGGAAGGTAATGTGAGAGGGAAGGAACTGGGCTAGGGTTGGGCACTGAGACCTAGAAAGGCCTGCAGAAAATGGGATGTAAGCTAAGTCTTGAAGGAAACCAGGGAAGCTAAGAGATGAGGAGACAATATTCCAGGCCTGGGAGCAGCCTATGCAAAGATTTGGAGTCTGGAGATACTGAGGTGTGCAAAGCTGCATCCTTAATGCAGGAGAAGAGAGTAAGGTAAAAGAAGATTAGAAAGTAGGAAGGAGCCAAGTTGTGAAGGGTTTTAAATGCCCAATAGTGAACTTTTATATTTTTTAATCTGGAAGTAATAGAGAGTCACTGGAGTTTGAGTAGTGGAGCGACATACTTTCCTATGTTTTAGGAAAATCACTATGTCAGTTTAGTGAAGGATAGATTGGAGTGGGGAGAGAGGCTTGAGGCAGGGAGACAAATTAGAAAGCCTTTGAAATAGTCCCAAGTGTGAGGTGAAGAGGGCTGGTACTAAGGTGGTTTGGCTTCTTAAGTGGAGAGATGACTTATAAAAGAAATATGAATGTAGAAACAACAAGTTTCATTAAGTTATGTTAGCATCTAGCCTGAGCCTTGCATTTTACTTGAGAACCCAAAGTCACCAAATTAGTGCATGGAACTGGGACTAAAACTATGTATGCTCTATTCCAGTCTATTGCTTCTGTGCTGCCATAGAAGGGTGGTACAACTAATCCAGTATTTAATAGTCATCTCATGTTCTGTTTTTCATACATGGATTTATTAAGAGCCTCCTAAGTGTATGTATAAATAAGCTCTAGGGATACAAAGACAGAATACAGAACAAAATTGTCCATATGATGCTTACATTCTACTTCATCACCAGTGTCATTTATGTTACTTGTTATAGCAGACATGGGTCCTTATTTGATGAGAGAATTCATGGTAGATATAGACACTTTCAGTAGACTTATCTGGCTCCCTGTTAATACTGAAAAGAATACTGGATTTGAAATCAAAACCTGGATTCAAATTCTGATTTTGCCATCAACTGCTTGTACAGAATTGGAAGTCACTCCATGTGGTAGGATCTTATTTTCCTTATCTTGTAAATGAGGAAGTAGAAAGAACCTTCTGGTTCTAGAACCCTGACCAAATGCCTGCTGTGTGCAAAGCACTGTGCTTGAGGGAGATATTACATGTGCCTCCTTGGACTTTTAAGTCTAATAGTCACAGTTTTAGATTAATTGTTGTATTAAAGGGAAAGAGGGTGTAGGACTGACATGTACAATTCTATTAATTTCTTCTGTAACTAAGCGCAAATTTTGAGTCACTCATGAAATACTCTAAATGGCTGTTTATATAGTTTTTACAGTACTTTAAAGAACTGCAGATTTCATTCTGGAGAAATTGCTCTTAGAGTTAAAATTGTATTTGTAGCATTTCTTTCCATGTGCCTGATCTCTGCTTCCCTTACTAATGAAGAAACTTCACTTTTTTATTTCTGATTGTGAAGACAATCTTTTTTTTTTTAATAGTTTATTTTCAGGGTATGAGTTTCTTTAAAAAATCAGTTGGCTTTTATGTTTTGTACATGAATTTAAAAGGAACATAAGAATCACTGGCTCATTTACAAATTGTAAAATAAAAGTACCAGGTAGTTTAACTTCTTTTGCCAGAGAGTCCATATTCAGTCTATTATATCTTGAGCCCTGACTGCTATGTTTAGGTTTAAAAATAGTGTCTTCATATCTACTAAAGGCAAGGACCTAAGGTAACTTTATCAAGCAAGTTGGATATTTTTGGAACATTTATTTTTTACATTTTACAAGGAATTAGTGCATCTAGGTAGGAAATGAGATAAGCTAAGTCAAATTCATTGTTAGAAGTTAAGAATTATTTTTAAAATGGTAATTAGTTCCAGCCCAGTGGAAATATACAGTGTAAATTCAAATACTGCAGTCACATTAGGGAATTCATTTTTCACACTAATTGGGACCTATTTCAGTGCTGCAACGTACTTATTATTTAGAATAGTCTTACCTTCATTTACTAAATAATAATGAGTCATACAAAGTTGCTAATTTAAAAGCTAAATATCCCCCTGACTCCTCTTTGGTTCTAGGCAAATCTCCTATTTCGATCATTTTTCTTAAATAGCCCTGGAAGGGGACAAAATGGAAAAGGTAAAAATTCTAGTAAACATAGCATTAAAATGAAGGATTTTAGTATCTGATATGTAGGAAGAATAATAGAAGTATTGTGGCAGAATTTTGATGTGCTTTAAGCATGCAAAGAAAATGTGCTTATGTGTTTTATTGAAAGACTGATAGTTGTAAATGGCTAGCAGCCCCTATTTTTCCATTTTCTTTAAAAGAAAAAATCAACTTCACGAGATGCCATCATGTCTGTTTAGGCTTTGAGTGAAAAGTAATGTTCTAATGAACATAATGAAAAGTAATGAGCTAGAGCAAAGCTTTTTGTAGCTCTTGTCTTCTGTTTGTTGAGATAACAAGTTTAAATTTTATTTTTTAGAGAAGTATTAAGCTTCTGTTACCTTTTGAACTCAAGAGCAGCTCTGTACAGTCAGGCTTCTAAAGCTTCCTGCAAATTATATAAGGAAAGGAGATAACTGCAATTTTATTATGATGATTTGGTACTTGTAAACTGATAAACTATAGGGTGATTCAATTTAAATAATAGAAGTTACTTACATATGACACTTCTGTGTTTCTCATACTGTTTTGGTTAGTGTGAGTTTGAAGGTTAAGCATGCCAGTTGACATGTAGCTTGTTGGATTATCCAGAAAATGGCAATTAAAATGATTTCACAATTTTTTTTTATCAGGTTACACAGTCTTATAAAAAGATTGAAATGTGCTAATCTTACATTTTCCAGTGGTCGGCCTCATACAATGAGGTTCTCTCAGCATGCTTAATGTTTCCTTCCCTTTGTCCTTTATTAGAAACTGAATTTTTTTTTTAATAAGGAAAGGAATTTTTTTTAATAGTGGCATTAGTCCTATGATATTTTAAGACTTTTGCCCCAAAGCCCAGAGGCAAAAATTGAAGAGATAGGGATGGCTAGGGCTGCCAGCTACTTTTTATTTGTAGGTGCTAAAAAAAAAAAGTCACATTTACATGTGAAGCATTTTCAGTGTGGTCGTTTGGAGTGTCATTTCTTGTTTTGTGCTTCAAGTACATGATGGAGAATTCCATAGGGACTTGGGGGCTGGGGTGAGGGTGGAGGGCTGATGCTTTCCTGTTGAACATTTTATGTGGCATTGACCTCTCTGAAGTTTTTTGTTTGTCACTAGCCCTTTTTGAATATAAAACTTGGAGAAAGACAGTGTATCTCTGAGAAAAGCCACACTGTTAGGTTTGGGGAGTGTGAACAAAGGAAATACAGGATTTATACCCAAGTTTTTGGTATAGAATTAAGCAAGAGAAAGTAGATAAGAAGTATGGTTCTTTCAGAAGCTAGAAAGAACCTAGGGACAGTTTTATCCTCCAGTGAGTATTGCTTCATTTGACCAGGAGGGGGAGAAACATGAGAGCAGCTGATAAGGTTTTAGGAAATAATTTAAATAGAACCAATAAACCAGCATAAATCTAAGGGAGAAAGGGGGTTATTTGACTTAAATTCCAGAGAGTAAGTAACAGAATTGAAAAGAGTTTTTGTGTCTGGTAAATTGTTTCATTCTTTCCAGGACTTTTCACTTATGGCCAACAGAGGAAATGCTGACTCTCTGGGGGCTTATTCTCAGATAATGAGTTCATCTGCTTCTTGCATGTAGTGAATTCATTCAGCAGCTACTAATTGCCGTGAAGTGAGTATACAGAGACTTTAAAGATTCAGATCTAAGCTTGAATTTCTGAAAGTAAGAGAATTGAGCTATTCTGATGTGAATATTCTGACATTCCAAAGGAGAAAATGTTTTGATTCAGCATTTGAATCTCCTGGAGGCCTAAGAAAGTGGAGTCATTGAAGTCAAGCTGACTCTTCTGATACTAGCCTCCTAAAGGAAAAGGTCGTTGGAACAGGCCCTGTCTTCAAGATGAATTCAGGTCTTACTTCCTCAACCGACACTGAATATAAAATTTACCATATTCTGACATTATAAAATGACTCATAACTCTTCCAACTACTGGAGGGATGTGGAATTGTGGAGCCTGCTTTAGTAGCAGGCAAGAGGGTGGGCTTTATTTTTTCCTGGACTTTGTTCTGAACTCTAATCCCAAATCAGCTCCCTACTGAGCATTTCCTCCTGGATGTTTGTCAGTGCCTCAAACTTAACATGCCCAAAATAGATATGGAAAATAAGGTAGAGTCAGTGATTCTAAGGTTATAGACCTCAGTAACTAAGAGATATTGTGGTGCACTCAATTGAAATAGGGTGATTTGGAAGAGAGACAGTTTCAGTCCAAAACTAGGAAACTAAAAAATACAGTCTTCCATTTATTCTCCATCTTCATTAGGACCACTAGTTCATTAACTTTTTAGGTTGTCATCTCTGTTATGACTTCACTTTCCTCCCTTCACATTTTTAACTGTAATTAACTAGTTCAACTCTACACTGTCCTCTACTTTCAGATCCCTTGTTATAATATACTGTCACTTCTCATTCCTTGTCATAGCCCTACCCATTATTATTCCTACTATTCACCATTTCCATTCCTCCCCTGCTCTTCTGAAAGGAGCTAGTTAAAGTCAGTCAGCCAAGCTTTCAACAAGAAAATTATGTCACTGTAATAAAGAAATTTTTTTTCTCCTAACTGATTCTCTGTTCTCATTCTGCCTAGAGACTGTTCCAAACCTTTCCTTCCTCCAGCCCTCACAACTGAGAACCTTGCCTATTCTAATTCCTTTAATTTCTTTTTCTTAATTCTTTAGCTGGGGGGAGGGGGAAGGGACCTGCAGCCTTGAGGACACACGTGGCCTTCTAGGTCCTTGGGTGTGGCCCTTTGGGGTCCAGGTTTTACAGAAACAGATCCTTTTATTAAGGGGATTTGTTATATGAAGTTTGCGTTCAGTCAGAGAGCCAAACTTGAGGACCTAGAGGGGCCACATGTGACCTCAAGGCTGCAGCTTACCCACCCCTGGGCCATATACTATTTGGTGCAAATATGTTTAGTATTGATATGACTTCATTGTCTGTGGTACTTTTCAACAAGATACAGTCTCCTTTTTTATCTCTTAATTAGATATATTTTTGCTTTGTTTAAGATCATGATTGCTGCCCCTGCTTTCTTTGCTTCAGTTGAAGCATAATAGATTCTGCTCCAGCCCTTTACCTGTGTGTATCTCAGCTTCAAATGTATTTCTTGTAAATGACATATTGTAGGATTCTTATTCTTATTTTTAATCCATTCTGCTATCTGCTTCTGTTTTATAGGTGAGTTCATCCCATTCACATTTATAGTTATGATAACTGTGTATTTCCCTCCATGCTATTTTTTGCCTGTATATCTCCCTCTCTCTCTTGTCCCCCAACTCTTTCCCTCCTCACAAAGTGTTTTACTTCTTCCCCATTATAACCTCCCTTTTGTCAGGTCCCCCTCCCCCTTCTATTATCCTCTCCCTTTTTACTTCCTTATAGGGTAAGATAGATTTCCATATGCCACTGAGTGTGCATGTTATTCCTTCTTTGAGCCAATTTTAATGAGAGTAAGATTTAAGCTTTGCCTGCCATCTATTTTCCCCTCCATTATCATAGGTTTCTCATGCCTCTTTTATGTGGGATAATTTACCCCATTCAGTCTCCCCCCTCCTTCCAGGGCAATTTTTTTTCTCACCTCTTTATTTTGTGTTTTGGGGTATCATCCCATCAAAGTTACCTTATAAACCACACCCTCTATCTACATGTACTCCTCCTAATTGCTCTTATAGTAATAAAGTTGTTAAGAGTTACAAATATATTGCTATATAGAAATATAAACAGTTTAACCTTATTGAATTTCTTGTGTTTTCTTTTGTTTCTTTTTTTCTCTTTTTGTGTTTCTCTTGAATATTGTATTTGGAAGTCAAATTTTTTATTCAGCTGTGGTCTTTTAATTAAAAATGATTTTGTTAAATGTGTTAAATGTCCATTTTTTTCCCCTAAAAGATTATATTCAGTTTTTTTGAGTAGGTGATTCTTGGTTGTAATCCTAGCTCCTTTGCTTTCCAGTATTTCATATCCCTCTGGTTTTTTTTAATGTGGAAGCTGCCAAATCCTACCTAATCCTGACTGTAGCTCCATGACATTTGGAATTGTTTCTTTTTGGCTGCTTGCCAGGCTTTCCCCTTGATCTTTGAGCTCTGGAATTTGGCTAGGATGTTCTTGGGAGTTTTAACTTTGGGATCTCTTTCAGGTGGTGATTGATAGATTCTTTCAATTTCTGTTTTGCTCTCTGGTTCTAATATATCAGGGCAGTTTTGTTTGATAATTTCTTGAAAGATGTCCAGGCCTTTTCTTTTCCTTTTTCTTTCTCTTTTTTTAAAATCATGGCTCTTAGGTAGTCCAGTAATTCTTATATTCTCTCTCCTGGATCTATTTTCTAGGTCAGTTGTTTTTCCAATGAGAAATTTCACATTTTCTTCTTATTTTTCTTTTTACTTTTGTATCTTGATGTTACATAGAATCATTGGTTTCAACTTGTTCAATTCTAATTTTTAAGGAATTTTTCCTTCAGTGAGCTTTTGTATTTCCTTTTCTGTTTGGCCAACTTTATTTTTTAGGGCATTATTTCCTCAGTAAATTTTCTTTTCCAATATCTTTTCCAATGCTATTGATTCTTTTTTTTTATGATTCTCTTGTATTACTCTGATTTCTTTTCCTAATTTTTCTTCTACTGCTTTTTAAAAAACCTTTTTAAGCTCTTCCAGGAATTCTTTTTGGGCTTGAGACCAAATTACATTTTTCTTTCAGGCTTCACATGTAGCCATTTTGACACTGTTGTCCTATTCTAAGTTTATGCCTTGATCCTCCTTATCACCGTAGTACCTTTCTGTAGTCAGGCGGTTTGGTTTGTTTTGTTTTGTGTTTTTGCTCACTTTTTTCTCCCTTTTTTTTTCTTCTTTATTTGGTGACTTAGTGTTTTTATGTGAGAGTTTGGCTCTGGTCTTGTACTGTCCCAAGCTTTTTGTAATGGGGCTCTGGGTCTTACTGCTGGCTTTCACTGGGCTTAGCTACTTGTTTTCTCTGGAGGTAGGCTTCCCTTCTGGCTCGTACTGGCAGCCAGAGCCTCCCCGGGCATGGGGTTTATCTGCTGGCCTTCTCCAGGGGTGGGGCCTTACTGCTTGGTTGCTGTGGTAACAAGAGTCTTTCTGGTGACTGCCTCTGTTGCTGGTCTGCCCCAGGGGGTGGGGCCTTGCTGCTGGGATGCTATGGAAACAGGGTCTCTCTGCTGATAGGCCCCAGGGGCAGAGCTTCACTATTAATCAGCAGTGGGGTCAAGGCCTTGCTGGTGGCTTATGCTGGGGGTGGGATCACTGGGGTGAGACCTTCTTGGGCTGCACAGAATGCTGCTCACTTGCCTACAGGTCTGCTAGTTTGCAGGAGGGCAAGGCCTTGCTGGTGCATTGACCCAGGCTTGGAGCCCTGCTGCTGGTTCCCTGCTGTGAGGTTGACTGCTGCTGCTGATCTTGGGTCCCTTAGTCCCCCTCGTCCCCGTGTCCCCCCCCCCCCCATGAGACAGACCTTTCCTCCTGTGCCGGTAAGCTGCTTCTGTGCTCCTAGATCAATTCTGCGGCAGTTGTCTAACTGTTCAGAGGGAAATTTGGGAGGGCTCCAGAGGATTCCTTCCTCACTTTGCCATCTTGGCTCTGGGAGTGCAGTCCTTCTTTCTGATCTTCAGTCTTTCCTCTCTCTTGGTTCTTTTCCTGTTGTCTACAGTACTCCCAGGTCTTGCCCATTCTTAAAATCTCACTAGATCTTTACCATTTCCTCAGGCTACCATCTTTTATCCCCTTCCTTTTATTGCCAGACTCCTAGAAAAACTATTGACATATCCTGTTCTCTCATTTCTCAGTCCTTAGTATTCTGACTTCCAACTTTGTCACTAAGTGGAAACTCCTGTCTCTAGTGATTTCTTAATTGCCAAATCTGTGGACTTTTTCTCAGTCCTCCTCTGGAATTCCTCTTGCATTTGGCGCAACCTGCTTAGCTCTTGGATACGCCATCTTTGAGTTTTTGTGATATCACTCTCTTGGTTTTACTCGTCACCTCCTGTAGTCCGCTGGCTCATCATCCATATAACTGCTCCATTCTGGACCCTCATCTATATATTTTGCAGTAGTGAGAAAGGGATAGAACCTGGAATCAGATGCTCTCACTTGGTGATCTCATTTACTCCCAAGGGTCTAATTATCCCTGTGCAAGTGATTTCCAGATCTCTCTAATCACCATCCTTAATCTGTGGGCCCTAGTTGCATTATTGAACATCTCTGAACTGGATGTGCCATAGGCATTTCAGATTTCATTTTCTTCTGTCCAAATCCCTCCCCTTCATCAAATTAGATAATGTTTGTAAAGCACTTAGCACATTGTCTGGCACAGATTAGGCATTTAATAATGTTCCTTCTCTCCTCCCCACAATTTTCTGAACTCCCCCTTTTTTTTCCCCAGGCCACCACCCTCTGTCACCCAGTTTCAAAATCTCCAAAACTCTACCCTTGACTTTTCATTCTTTATTGTTGCACACGTGTACTAAGTTGCCAAATCTTGTCTTTCCACCTCCACAACATCTCACACAGCCAGCCCCTTCTTTCTTAACCTGTGTTCACTTCCCTGTTTCAGGCTGTTGGTGCCTCTCCCCCTCTCCCTGACTCTTAAAGTCCATTGCTTTATCTGCTCCACCACCTAGACCTTTTCAACATAGTAAGAAGAAAGTTTTGGTAGGAGGAGGAGAGCAGTCATTCTGCTTTGTTTGCCCCTGGGCCATCTGGGATCCTCACTTAACTTTCTGGTATCCTTTTTCAAGGGTATAGATGTGGAGGAGGAGGAGGAGATAAGTCAAATTGCCTTTTAAAGGGTGCTTAAATTTAGTATTTCTTTGATTAAGCATGATATGTTGTTAAAAGTAATAAATGCTTTGCTAGCCATGTACTTATTAAGCTTTTACTCAATGTCATAAAAACCTGTGTCTTCAAAAACTTTATTGGGTATATTTAAGGGGTTCTATATCAGCAGAAGAATAGTCATCTGTGTAGCAATTCTAATGAATTACTCTAATTCTACTAGAATTGTCTTCTTGGGTTTTATATGATATGACTTTCCAGTCCCACCCAATCTTTTAAAAAAATCCTTTCCTTCAATTTCATAATGTAGTCAGTGAATGACTTTAGGCCTACACTAGCTCATTCCCTGTCCTGAAATACAAAGCTGACACCCCTTGGATAAATTACCAAGAGCTACATAATAAGTTAGAAATAAAACCAATAATGGAACTGAAAGCTTTAGATATTTCCTGTACTTTCACAGCAAACTCTTCAGTGGTTATATCTGTGTAAGAAGTCTTTTTTATTCATACAGCAGCTTCTTTTTGTGATTGCTTGGCTTTTTTTTTTTCTCCCCAACAGGCTCATATAAAGGTGACTGGGTGTATCCTCTTGATGGAAACCAGCTATGTGAACAAGACCACTGTATTGAAAGAGTGCAAGTGTTAGTTTGAATGACTGTTTAATGTTTGCAAAAAACGGGTTTGTTTTTAGACTAGGCTTATTTCTTAATGTTTGGTAGAAAGGATATATAGAAATGGTAATGGGCCTTACTGATGAAGAAAAGCAAGGTGACTTGAATCATCCTGGTTTTTTTTTCTTTCTTTTGAGTGTCATTACTTTAAGACAAAATTTTATTAAATATCTTAGCACCTGGGTTTTTCTGTTTTATTAAGTCATATAGAATTTTGAGCAGTGTCAACAAATACTAAGCTTCGCTGTATTTCCTTAACATTTTTTGTTCTGCAAATAAATCTACCACATTGATTAGACAAGTTGTTAATTCATGAATAACATGAGATTAGAAACTATGCTTCTCCAGTACATGGGGTTTTCAAAACATAAAATTGTTTTATTCTTTTTGTCATATTTAATGGGTGCTAAAAATGATGAGAAATTTTAAGTGAGGCATGTTTTGAGTGTGATAAAGATTTGGTTATGAGATTAGAGCATAGACAAGTTGAGATGCATAGCATTAATTTGGCTACTGTATGAACATTCTAGTTTCATTAATGCAGGACAGTTTTATAATTTAATTCATATAACAGTTTTGTAACTAATACATGCAGAGCTTAAAGGTTGACTGCCAAGTTTTTAAATTTACCATTGGAAACTGAAACATGGTAAGTAGAAATGAAGCTGATTAGGGTAGAGTTTACTGACAGTTGTGCACCAGAGTAGTGATGAGAGCAGTAGATTTGTGATTTCCAAAGCAATCTCTCCCTCTTATACAGAGGCAGACAACATCCAGCCTTTCATAAATGACTAATTGTTTAACCAATTTATATACTTTCTTATTAAATATCTGTTACTTTTCAATTGCCTCATTCTTCCTTGTACCAGAAATTCCCATTTCTTTAACTGCTAGCTCCCCATTACTGACTTTAGAAGAGCTAACTCAGTCCTCACATGAGAGGACACCAACTGCAAAATGTCCTTGTGGCGCATTCCCTTTGGGCAATACATCGTTTCTTTGTTGTTGTTATTGTTCACTTGTGTCTGATTCTGACCCATTGGGGGCTTTCTTGGTAGACCTACTGGAGTGGTTTGCTATCTTATGTTTATAATGGTAGAACAGTACCAAGAATATAAAAGCTAAACAGAAGTATGAAATTAGACTTATTCTCTAGGCAACTAGAGACAGAGCCCATAAAGCCTTTTGAGCATGGAAGCAATGTGACAAACTGTCTCATTAATCTCAATCTCATAATATAAAGGGTAGATTGAAGGTAAAGTAGATTAGAAGCTATGGCAGTAGTTCCCTGTGATAAAGTCCTCAAGCAGAGTCATTGCACCAGGAGCCCAGGGAAAGAGCAGCCAAATACAAGGGTATCCCATACACAAAAAGTATAGTTTGGTTAAGGGAAGAGGCAGCCTTGCTATATGGAAGGAATATCAGATGATTCACTCTTGGGTATTTATATACACTTATGTAAGCCCACCTTTATAAATTCATTTGTGAGGGGCAGCTAGGTGGTGCAGTGGATAGAGGTCCGGACTTGGAGTCAGGAGGACCTGAGTTCAAATCCGATCTCAGACACATAACACTCACTAGCTGTGTGGCCCTGGGCAAGTCACTTAACCCCATTGCCCCATTAAAAAAAATATATATGTAAAAAATAGATAAATTCATTTCTTATATGTGGTATAGCAACTTTTGTCTGGTCCTGAAATTTTTATTCATAGCTCAGGCAATGTACCCAGTTAAGCTCTTCAGACTTTGTAAGTACCCAGATCCCTAAGAAGTTTTCCCTGTTTGCTCATTTGTCTCTTGATTCGCTGTCTCTCACCCATAAATATTTGTTTCCCTTCTGTTTTTTTTTTCAGAAGATAGGGACATAACTTGAATATCTGTTTATGGGATAATCATGTAACTTGATACTTCTGTGTCAAAATCAAACCCTGCTTCCTCTGTGAAGCCTTCCTGACCATCCTTGTACACAGTGATCTCTCTCCAAATAGAATGAGAAAGTATTTATTGAACATTATGTGTTGGGCACCATGTTCAATGCCAAGGATTCAGATACAAGTCAGCAGGACAGACTGTCCTCAAGATGCTTACATTCTAATAGGGGAAGGCAACATAAAGGGGAGCTAGAAAGGAGGAAGAAGGATGTATGAGTTGCAGCATGGTTTGGAAATGGCCCAGAAATGATTTGGAGGCCTAGGTACTTTCTATAATTTTCTGCCTTCTAATTTTAAGTATTGAGTATGCTTTTTTTTTAATACATAATTTTTTTTCCCTAATTACATGTTAAAACAACTTTTTGATATTTTTTTTTAATTTTGAGTTCCAAATTCTATCCTTCCTCCCTCCCTGAGACAGTAAGCAATCAGATTTGGTTACACATGTGCAATCATGTAAAACAGCATATTAGTCATTTTGTACAAGACTCAAAAGAAAAAAGAAGGAAAGAAAGAAAATGAAAAATAGCATGCTTCAGTCTATTCAAACTATCAGTTTTTTTCTCTGACAGCAGATAGTATGCTTCATCATTAGTCCTTTGGGATTGTCTTGGATCACTGTATTGCTGAGAAAAGCTAAGTCATTCACAGTTCATCAAAGAATATTGCTGTTACTGTGTACAACGTTCTCCTAGTTCTGTTTATTATACATCAAGTCCAGGTTTTTCTGAAATCATCAATAGCACAATAATATTCCATCACAATCATATACCATAGCTTGTTTAGCCACTCTCCATTTGATGAGCATCCCTCAATCCCCCAGCTCTTAGCCACCACAAAAAGAGCTGCTAGAACTGTCTTACACAGAATCTTATCCCCCATCAAACTTAGCACAGAGTCTTATGCAGAACAGGCTATCCAAATTTGATCATATTTGGAAAGCTGCTAAAGGAGGGAAGGGGGGGAAAGAGTTGGGGAAGGAAGAATCAAATTGTGACATGTTGTATTGTAATCTTAATAGGCTGAGCCAGCTAATTGTTGTGATTGAGGCTTCCAAAGAAGTCCAAAAAATATATCTCACTCCCCTGGACCTGAAATTCATTAGAGATTCATTTCAGCTTCTCTTAAAATCTAGGTACTTTAGAAGTATGATGCCATATAGTATGGTGTCCTAGAATAAGTCCTGGCCTGGACAGCTATTTACTATCAGTGTTGCCTTAGATAAGTTATTACATCTGTCTGTAGGCATCAGTTTCCCTAAGATGCTTTCCAACTCTATGATTGTATGAGTAATACATTAAGTTTTTTAATATTTGAACAAAAATGGCTGTATCAGATCCTTTTATTCCATCTAGCTGGAGAGACCTGACTAGCATGAGTACAGCTGCAGTTAGAGAGTTTTGGGCGTGGGGGGCTAGGAAGCAAAGCGGGGGGGAAAAGGAAACAAAAGGGGAAATTGGGGGGGGAGGGAGCATCAAGGATCATTTTTACCAACTTCATGTTTTTTTTTTCCTAGAATAGAGCCTACTGTTAGGCACCAATCTAGTCTAAAAGACTGTGGCAAACTTTGGCATTGAAATTCCATTACAAACTCTTAACAATCCAGGCTTTTCTAAGGAAAAACAGGGCTGCACAAAATGTTGAAGGGGGATAGCTAAATGTATAAAGATGCTGTGCAATATCCACATTAAAAAAAGATAATCTATAGCTGTCATAGTCAAGTAAGATTCCAATCTTCTTTGGGGGAACTGTAATCTGGATCTCTGGAGTAACCCCGTTGTGCAGAAATTCATATTTATGCCTGAAAATTTGAAAACAAATAAAGCTTCACCAACTCGTGGCTTTGCTATTGCACGTAACATTTTATATTCCTGATTTTATTAACATTTTTATGACATTTCCTTCATTAAATGAATACCAAAGTAATTTGTTGTTTTCAAAACCATGTATTTTCCAAGCTGTGTCTTCTCTTAGCATTTGACTCAAGAGACTAATTTCAAATTTGTCTGTGCTGGGCAAGTCACTCTTACCTAAGAAACTCAATATAGTGTTTCATGAAACTCATTTTACATTAAAATTCCTGTAGGAAGCTGATAAAACATACATTTAAGGAACTTGAATTGTAGTATTTGGGTGGGAAAATATGCTTTGTAATAAAGGAAATTCAGAATTAACATGATAGTTTTAAGGACAAACAGTGGTGCTTAACAATATAAGTAGGTATCTTGGTTTAAAGGGAAGTTAACCTTTCCAAAGAAATAGGAAATTTTATTTCTAGAGAGGTTATTTGCCCCCATCTCTAGCACCCTTTATTTTACAGAAAAGGCTTGATCTTTCTTTGGCTTCATACTCAGATGAGTGAATAACTTGCTCTGTGTTCTGTATTAACCCACTGGTTCCCAGTGATTGCGCTGAAATTCTTTGCTTCACCTTTCAGACACCCTGCTGGTGTCACAGCAGACTAGGATGCTTCCTTGTGTTAAGCTTTTCCTTTTCTAAACAGAGCAGTTCCAAGGAGCTAAATGACTAGGTCGTGGGAATGATGATCACTCATTTGTGAGAGTAGCAACAGTACCTAGAATTAGACTCCTGGCCCAGACACTGCTTCCTTCCCTACACCTGGCAACATAGCAGCTCTACTGGGAAAGGCAGGATGTGATGGAACACTAAGAAATCTCTAGTGAGAGGCATCGTGATGGGAGTGGAAAGAGGGCTGCATTTAGAGTCAAGTCACAGAACTGCTAAGTATCCAAGTCAGGATTCTAACCCAGGTCTTTGGACTCCAGAGTCAGTCCCCTTTCCCCTGTACTATGCTGCCTCCCATTTCTCATTTCTGCATTTCAACCCTACCCCTGCCTTTTTTTGTCCTCCCTATATTTTATTCTAATTTTTTCACTAAACAACCATACTCCTGTTTCACTGTTAAGAGGACAGGTTCAATATAGGCATTAAATTTTGCCTTTTGTATCCTATGTTTCAACTTTAATTACTTATAAATTCAGTTATGATGACAGGTTATTGCATAATGTCCCTTGGTCTGTTTCCTTGTCTATAAAAAATAGGGACTTTTAAAAATGTCATTTTTTGTGCCATTGTCCCTACCCCCTCATCTGCCAATATACACATCCTTACTATGAACTTTTAAGAGGACCCTCTACCTCCCTTGGTGTGTGATGGAAAATTCAAAACTTGAGAGGCATGTTGTGTGGAAAAAGGTTCCTAAAATATTGCCCTGACCAGCTGAGTTAACCAGATAGAAAGAATCAGTGATGCTAATTTAAAAGCTAGAAAGTAGAAGCTGGGAAGTAGAAGTCTAGAGCAATTGCTGAGAGGCAGGTTGATCAGCAGACCCCTCCTTCCTGGATTTTAGCCAAGGTCACCTTTGGCCCAAATACCAAAGCAGAAGTCTATAAATCTGATTTAGTGAGACCTTCCCATTCAGATTTAAATGCTGTTGTTATCTATTCTAAAGAGTCAAGTCTTCTGGTCTACCATTCTGTTGTTTTCAATCTCTTCTGGAGATAACTTTGTAATCTGGCTCTGGGCACAGTAATCCTTAGAACACTCAAACTGGATTTCTGATGCAGTAAAAAATTCAGCTTTATACTTGCTGAATATGTTTTATGGGGAAAATTTAAAGCTTACCCTATCTGCTTGGACAAAAGATGCAATTAGTTTTAACACTAATCCCTCGGAGAGCAATGAAAAGTAACAATTTGTGGGAATGGTGCAGATAGGAACAGGAGCCTCATAAAGCCAGTGAGGTCCCAGGCAGGGTCAGAACACTTAGAAAGGCAATTAGACATCTTCCTGACGGTCAAATGAAGCTGTCTTTTTTTTTTTTCTTACAATTTTAGAAGTGGAGGAAGGGTGCAAGAATGTTCTTCCCTGTTGGAAATTCTGTACCATGGGAA